TTCTATAGTCATTTTTGAGATGATCCTGAAAGAAAAGTAAATCATCAATCTGGTGAAAGTTTAAGTTCTTTATTCACTCATTCAGCAAGTAGTTGCTGACTGCCTATTATAATACTATAAAGAGGAATATCTTCTGGATCAAGTGAAAAAGAACTTGTCTCATATCCACTGTTTCCAAATGTTTGTTTATACTATTTCCTTACTTTGGATTTATTCCATCTTCTTCCTCCTCTTCTTCCTCCTCCTCCACCTCCCCCCATACCTCTTCCATCATCAAAATCATACTATCTGGGCTTCCAATAATTCAAGTTGGTTGACCAACAATATCTATTTATCTCCTTTTCCTGCAAGGAGATCCCTCTGAAGTAACAGTAAAGGACTAAACTGGCATAAAACGACAATGAAAAAAGAGAACGGGGGGCTTCCCTGGTGGCACAGTGGTTGAGAGTCCTCCTGCCGATGCAGGGGACACAGGTTTGTGCCCTGGTCCGGGAAGATCCCACATGCCGCGGAGCGGCTGGGCCCGTGAGCCATGGCCGCTGAGCCTGCGCATCCAGAGCCTGTGTTCCACAACGGGAGAGGCCACGACAGTGAGAGGCCCGCATACCACAAAAATAAATAAATAAATAAGAGAATGGAAGAAAGGGCCATCTGTGGACAAACAAATATAACAGAGTTCTGGAAGATGGAAAACAAATGAAACATGATAACTGATGAAACAGAAGAAAAGCAGCAGCCTAAAGTAAGCTCAGAGGATATTGTCCTGGATGAGGAGTGAATGGCCAGCATAAGATAAATACCTAGGAAGTTAAGAATGAAATATCAGAAAAACTGAGGATGAAAAGATGCTAGAATGTTTCCAGAAAGAGAAAAGAGGTAACCCCAACAAAGAAGCAGCCCCAATAAATGGAAGCAACAGGAAAAATAAAACACATAGACATGCTGAAATTGGCGGTGGAGAGCATATTTGTGATACTTTGGGTCCTATCTTTTAATTGTAAAATCGATAAAGTTAAATTTTCTAGTTGAAAATGTTGTGGTAATAGGAAGAATAGTATGCTTTTTAAAATAAATAAATTGCTACCAATACAAAATGTTTAGTAAGCTGCACTCTTCCTTGGCCCAATGGGATATAAATGACCCCACCCCATGTGAACACTCTCTTTACCCCACTCATGCTCTGACATCCTGAGCTGAGCCTCGCTCCTGACTCTACTAAGGCTCCTACACACAACTTTGGACCACTATAGTTTCCCACCCACGGTGACTGCTGCCACCTTGCTTCACTTTTGAATTGAATTATTCAGAAAGATGAAGACCTCTATTAGATTTTAAGAAACTTGAGAGCAGAAACTTTGTTTTAAGCTAGCTTATATTCTTCCCAGAGCCTTGCCTAGTGCATTGTATACCACACAAACACCATTTTTTGTTATCTTTTTGATATGCCAAATAAATAAGACCAAAAATTTATGAGATAAAAGTGTCTTTCTTTAAAGAAGGTGAGAGTGTTTCACACAGCCTGTTATCTTCAGGAGGTACCTAAGGAGCAAAAGATTAAATCTATTTTATAGATAGCAAACTAAGGAACAAAGACATCTAACACATCTGCATTTTATCACAAGTCATTTGATGGAAAATTAACTCAAGCACTTAGGTCTCTCATCAGTACTCAGCATTCTGAAACACTTAAGTAAAACCCTGAGAATATTAGTTAACTCCCTTCCAAGGCCTCATTTAAGGTCACTCTTCTCCTAATTTAATAAATAAAATGAAAGAGTCATCATATTTGCACACTAAATGTTTTTGAACATTAAATAACACCTGTAAAGTACTCTGTTCCTCTTTTAAATAGAAAAATTTTAAGGCTAAGACAGTTCTTTCCTTCAGCAAATATGAAATCGAGCACCTACTACAAGGCCAAATGCTATTTAGGCACACTAGAAAACAAGTGGTGAATAAGACAAAAGAGGTCTCTTAATTCTAAATTAAAAGTTAGAACACAAAATTTTTTGATTTTCAAAATAAATACACATTCAAAAACTTGCAATTTCAACTCATTTTTCACTCAATTTCAATTTTAGTTTCTTCCATTCACTGTGAGATTATTTTTCTCAAAGAAAATAATATACAATACAGCAGGGTTTCTCAACCCTAGCACTAATGACATTTGGGGCTGACTCTCTTTGTTGTGAGGGCCTGTCCTGTGCATTGGGAGGATGCTTGCAGCATCCCTGGCCTCCACCTAGATGCCCTTAGCACCCCCTCATCGATGCTTTCTCAGGACAACCACAAATTTTTCCAGACAACACCAAACGTCTCCTACAGGGCAAAATCACATCCAGTTAGAAACCACTTAAGTACAGGAATGACTGAGGATAATCTTTCAACTCCCTTCTCCCCTTGTCTTTCAAATGAGTTATGATGCAAAGTCAGATGTTAGAACTAAAAGGCTCAAAACAATTCTAAGGTTATGATAGGCATTTTAAAAGTGGACTGTGGGAGTTTGCTCCTAGCCATGTCTTCTCACCAGACTTTAAGGATCAAGTGATTCCTGGCCAAGGAACAAAAGCAGAATCGTCCCATGCCCCAATGGATCTGAATGAAAACCTAATAAAATCAGGTACAACTCCAAGAGAAAACACCGGAGAAGAACCAAGCTGGGTCTATAAGGAGCCCTGCACATGAGGTGGCACACATATTTATGCTGTGTCAAGGGCACTTGCATCTTAACATATCACTCTGAAGAATCACTACTATCTGAACAGCTGGATGTGTTTTATCGGGAAAATGATTTTTCTCTTTGTGTCAGTGTGTCTGCACTAGTGCTCTGGTGAGAACTTTTGTTGTAAAATAAAAGTGAACTTTGGTCAAAAGAATGAGAACACAGCAGAGTGGACCATAAGCTGCTCTTCCAGCTTCAGTTTTGTCTATCTCTCTCCTCCTCAGTCTGAGAAGCCAAGTGCAATACCCCGGGAGAAGGAAAGAGAACTTTGAAATAAGGAGATACAAGGGCAATGATTACAGAAGGTTGACTGGAGGAATGAAAAGCAGGAAAAGCAGTCAATATGAGAACTAAGACAAGCTTCAACCAGTCTAAGCTTCCCATATTCTGAAGGGCATCATCTTAAAGACAGGAGAAATTCATAACAGAAAGGCAGAGATCACAGTGAGAAAATAAGTTGCTTATTAACAATATCATTAATATTATTATTATTAATCATAGAATTTAAACACATACCAACACTGATACAGATAAAACACAGATCATGGTTTAAAAAAAAAAGAGATAAAGAATGAGAAGACAAGCCACAGACCAGGAGAAGATAGTTGCAAAAGGCACATCTGATAAGGACTGTTATCCAAAATATAAAAAAACACTTTAAACTCAACAAAAAGAAAACCCAATTAAAAAATAACTGGTTCAAAGACCTTAACAGACACCTCATTTAAGAAGATATACAGATGACAAATAAGCATAAGAAAAGATGCTCCACATCACATGTCAAGCAGTAATGCAAGTTAAAACCAGATACCACTACCCATCTGGTTGTGTGACCAAACTTGGAACAATGACAACTGTAAAAGTGGAACAACGGGAACTCTCATTTTGGAAGGCAAAACAGTACAGCCACTTTGGAGGACCGCTTGGTGGTTTCTTACAAAAGTAAACGTACTCTTACCATATGACCCAGCAATCATGCATTTTTCTTTAGTCAACAGTATGAAAGGGTGGTATAGGAGTACTTTTTACTATGAGCACCTGCATTGTTTACATTATATATAACTGTCAACTGGAAAAAAATGGGCAACTTAAAATTTGCGAGTTAAGTTTTATTCGGGGACCTTACTGAGGACTACAGCCCAGTAGACAGGCTCTCAGCGAGCTCTGAGGAACTGCTCCAAAGAGGTAAGGGGGGGACCAGGATATATAGGAGTTTCGGCTGGGGAAAAAAAGGTAGTCAAACATCCAAATCAGACACCTCAAGTTAATGATTTTTTAGTGCTTCTCTATAAATGGGAAGATGCAAGAGTCTGGGCTCATTGAAGTTATTTCTTATATAAGTCTCATAACTATCTAGGGCCAGCTTCCTGTTTTTCTCCATCCTGAATTCCCCTTAGGCACACCCTGCAGGCAGCTGCAGTTGCTGGTGGCTTGAAGGTGGGTAACATTCGTTATTTACTGAAATGGCAGGTAACAGTTTTTCTCCACAATACATCTTTTTATGCATACAAGCATCCATATATAACTTCATTATAAATGGGAATATCTTATTCATCCATGCTGAAGATCTTAAAAGGGGAGATAAAGTAGAAAACACAAGTTTAGGATAGGGGCTGCTAAGGGTTGTATAAAGTATGGTAACCATAAGCGAAGTCTGAAATATAGAACAGTGAATACCAAGGGAGTCCAGAAATAGGCCAAAAAAAGAGTTCCCGCCCCCTTCAGCCATTCACAGCTTGCACTTTTTAACTAGTAGCTGCCTCACAGAAAACTATCTGTCAATAACAGACGCCTCTCTACACTAGCAACTCTGAAGCAAAGGCACACTTTCAAGGCTTTTCAATACTTCTAAGGACAGAAAATTATTTGGAGGACTAGGAACTGGAGATAGGCTAAAAAGTAGCAATCGCAAGATTCTCTGAAGAGAAAGACGCCGTCACGCCCGGGATTACAAAAAGACCTGAAACACGACAAGTAAATTAACTCTAGCTATCGGCACCCGATCACTCCCGAGCTCAAAAAACTCGCGCGGCTTCCCCACTGAAACCCCCCAGAAGCCACAACACCTGCCCAAAGCCTCACTCCCCCAGCTTCGCGGGGTCCGCGGCCTGCACTTACCAGCCCCCACGCGGCCATGTTCCGGCCCGGCTCAGCCCGCGCAGGGGTTGGGGGCGGAAGTTCACACGGGCCCAGCTCCAGGCAGCCCAGCGAGGACGGAGTCACACGAAGAGCAGCCAGGCGGAAACCCAGTAACACCTTAAGCGAAAGAAGGCGGTAGATGGCGGAAACTAAGGAGCCGCGACCCAGCGAGCGCGCCCGGGAGCGCGCCCACTCGCGCGCATCCAACTACGCAATTTAAAACGAGCTGCACATGCGCAGAATGGGCCCTTCGACTCCAAACGAAGAAAGCCGTTAGGGGCCCGCCCCCTCACTGGTACTCTCCCACAGTCCGGCCTTCCTCCTCCCAAGAGCCCCGCCCCATCACGTCGTAGCCCTTCCCCCATCTCACGTGTCTCCTAGTCCCTTACTCCCACAGCTTCATAGTCTCTCTCTCTCTCCGTCTCACTCTCCCTTCTCTCTCTCTCTCCGTCTCACTCACCCCTCTCTCTCCCTCCCTCCCTCCCTCCCTCCTTCCCTCTCCCCCTCCCTCTCCCTCTCATCCCTCCCTCTCCCTCTCTCTCTCCCTCCCCCGTCTCTCTCTCCCTCCCTGCCACAGCTTCATTCTTTCCCTCTCCCTCTCTCTCTCTCTCTCCCTGTCTCTCTCTCCTTCCCACGCAGAGAAGGTGTAAAACTTCCTGACGGTTCTCTTATAAAGTAAAAAGTAATACTTGGAAGGATAAGAGGCAGAAGACGTTTGAAGAGTAATGTTTTACTGTGTAGGCTCGTCACCCACACCCCAGCCGGTTTATGCATCATCTCTGAAAGCAATAATGGTACAGTAAAAATGGTGATGGATGAGGTATTCTTTTTTCCAAATATGTGGGTAATGTGGGTAATATTTTTGTGAGGCATTGCCAACAAAATGATCTGTGTAAGTATATATCATTTAAGTGTGACGTCCTGAAAGGAGTCCTAAATCAGGAGTCTTGAAACCTGCTCAGTGGACTAGCTATGTCATGTAGGACAAGCTCTGGCACCGTTCTGGCAGTTTCCTTAATTACATAATAGGAAAGTTAAGTTAGATGCTCTGAAGACTAGACCTGACCATTTTATGATTCTAAGAAACTATGACCTATTTTTATGATTTAATAAAAATTTTCAAGGGAATTTACATCAGAAAACGGGTTACTTTCTTCTCGGGCAAGGGAGACAAAAGCAAAAATAAATAAATGGGACCAAATCAAGCTAAAAACTTTTGCACAACGAAGGAAATTATAAACTAAATGAAAAGACCACCTACTGATTGGGAGAAGTTATTTACAAGTGATATATGCAATAAGGGGTAAATATCCAAAATGTACAAAGAACTCATACAACTCAACATCTAAGAAACAACCCAATTAAAAAATGAGCAGAGGAATTGAATACACATTTTTCCGAAGAAGCCATACAGGTGGCTAATAGGCACATTAAAAGATGCTCAACATTAATAATCATCAGGGAAGTGCAAATCAAAACCGTAAGGAGATATCACTTCAAGATATCACTTGCAGACAAACTGCAAGCACATGTCAGAATGGCTGTTATCAGAAAGACAACAAAAATCATGTGTTGGCAAAGATGTGGAGAAAAGGGAACTCTTGTGCACTGTTGGTGGGACTGTAAATTGGTACAGCCACTATGGAAAACAGAATGGCTATTCCTCAAAAAATTAAAAATAGAACTATCATATGATCCAGCAATTCCACTCCTGGGTATTTAATCCAAGGAAAACAAAACCACTAATTCAAAAAGATTTATGCATCTCAATATTCATAGCAGCATTGTTTACAATAGCCAAGATATGGAAGCTGCCTAAGTGCCCATCGACAGAAGAATGAATGAAGAAGATGGCATATATATATATATTTATATATATTTATATACATATATAAATAATGGAATACTACTGGACCATAAAAAGGAATGAAGTTTTACCATTTCCAACAACAGGGATGGACCTAGAGGGTATTATGCTATATGAAGTAAGTCAGACAAGAGAAAGACAAATGCTGTATGATTTCACTTATATGTGGAATCTAAAAAACAAAACAAATGAGCAAACTTAAGACATAAAAAGTTATAGATACAGAGAACAAAGAGGTGGTTGCCAGAGGGGAGAGGTGTGGGAGGAGGAGAGAAATAAGTGACGAAGATTAAGAGGTACAAACTTCCAGTTGCAAAGTAAATGTCACAGGTATGAAATGTACAGTGTAGGGAATATAGTCAATAACTAGGTAATAAAAATGCATTACTTATTGAATAAATTCATTAACCAAGAGTTGAGCAAATAAATTTTTTAAAACTTGCAATGCTTTAACAAATGTTATCACCTGCTAAGACCTTTTTTCTTTTTTTTTTTTTGTAGGAAAGAGGGATCGAGAATTAACTCTGAAATCAGACAAGCCCGAGTTCCACACTCCACTAATTCTGCCATAATGGGCAAGTTAATTAACCTATAAGTTTCTCAACTCTCTTGTCTGTAAAATGGGAACAACGTTAAAGTTGTTGAGATATGGATTAATTCCTTTTAAGATCTAGTTGAAATGCCTAGAACATAGTGAGAATTCAATAAATAATGCTATTGGTGTTATCAATATTATGGAGATTTTTATACTTGGTCTAGGAGAAGTTTTGCCAACCAGACTACATTATTTAATTTGGTCTCACATTTGGAATAGTTAATAATATACACTATCGTTTATTGAGTGCATACTGTATGGCAAGTTCTGTCATAAACGCTCTCCATGAAGTAACTTATTTAATTCTGAGAACATTCCTATGAGAAAAGACGACTAATATCCACATTTTACAGACAACAGAACTGGGACAGTCTTTAAGTAACTTGCCCAAGATCACACTACCATTAAACAGCAGAGCTGGGGATGAACCCCAGCATTCTGACTCCAGAACTGAGCACTTAATCACTATACTCTCAGTGAGAAATTTTAGCAAGCACAGTCATAGATGTAAAGTTCCACGTGTAAAATTATATCCCCCAGCTTCCACTGGAAACAGTAACTCTCAGAGGTATTTTGAGAAACTTGAAATGAAATGACATACTGGTATATAATGCAGGAGGGTGTAGGTAATGAACTGGTCTGTTCTAGAGAGAAATTGGAGCTGCACCCTTATGAAAATAAAAAGTTATGCAGATTCCACAGTTCCCAAACTTTTCAGTTCCCTCTGCATCTGTCTTAGTATTTACTAGCCCCTCCATAATTTTCGCATCCTAAAATAGGGTTGCTAGTTGATGGAGTAATGTTTATAAAACCCAGATTTGTCATTACAGGCCCCTCCCCTCCAAAAAAAACATTAAGATCAATCCCTATGCATTGCCTTGACAGCTGACTAAAATCTTGAAGTTTTCCATCACAACTACTTATCTATGTAAGGGGTGTGTGTGTGTGTGTGTGTGTGTGTGTGTTTATGTATCCATGGAACTATGTGTATTAGATGTGTATATGGAGAAAAAGGTATACAGAAATTTAGCTTGGAAGAGAAGTAGAAACTTTTAGTTACTTATGATTTTATGTTGCAGATAATTTCAAATTTGTAACTGTTAAAATTATCTTAAAGAATAGACCTTAAAAATGACACTCCAAAAATCAGTTTGTTCTAGAAATTATAACATAGTTGCAATTACAACTTAAAATTTTCTTTATTCATAATGGACCCAAACTGGCAACGTGCCCATCAGCTGGTGAATGAATAAATAAATTGCAATGCATCCATACTGTGGAATACTCCTCAGCAGTAAAAACAAACTACTGAGGCACACAACAACACAGATGAATCTCAGTACATACTGAGGGACTTCCTTGGTGGTCCAGTGGTTAAGACTGTGAGCTCCCAATGATAAAGAAAATGTGGTACATATATACAATGGAGTATCACTCAGCCATAAAAAGGAACGAAATTGGGTCATTTGTAGAGACGTGGATGGATCTAGAGACTGTCATACAGAGTGAAGTGAGTCAGAAAGAGAAAAACAAATATCGTATATTAACGCACATATGTGGAACCTAGAAAAAGGGTACAGATGAACCAGTTTGCAGGGCAGAAATAGAGACACAGATGTAGAGGACAAACGTATGGACACCAAGGGGGGAAAGCAGCGGGTGGGGGTGGGGGTGTGATGAATTGGGAGATTGGGATTTACATGTATACACTGATGTGTATAAAATTGATAACTAATAAGAACCTGCTGTATAAAAAAAAATTTTTTAATTAAAAAAAAAAAAAAAAGACTGCTCTCCTAATGCAGGGGACCCGGGTTTGATCCCTGGTCAGGGAACTAGATCCCGCATGCCAAAACCAAGAGCACGCATGCCACAACTGAGACCCAGTACAGCCAAATAAATAAATATTAAAAAAAAAAAATCGGGCTTCCCTGGTGGCGCAGTGGTTGAGAGTCCGCCTGCCGATGCAGGGGATACGGGTTCGTTCCCCGGTCCGGGAAGATCCCACATGCCGCGGAGCGGCTGGGCGCGTGAGCCATGGCCGCTGGGCCTGCGCGTCCGGAGCCTGTGCTCCGCAATGGGAGAGGCCACAGCAGTGAGAGGCCCGCGTACCGCAAAAAAACAAACAAAAAAAAAAAAACGTGCTAAGTGAAAGAAGCCAGACATCAAAGGCCATCTGCTGTATGAGTACCTGTACATGACTATATAAAACTATATGAACAGAAGTGAGATCACTGGTTACCAGAGGATGATGTCATGGCGGAAGAAGACCCTGGCTGCAAAGAGCCAGGAGGGAACTTTCTGCAGTGGTGGAAATAACTTATATCTTGCTTATGGTGGTGGTTACCTGACTATATGTATTTGTCAAAACTCTTAGAACTGTGCTCCTCAAAAAATGGTAACTTTTGCTGTAAATTATACCTCAATTAACTTGACTTGAAAAATTAAGAACATGAGAGAGACAGAGAGAGAGAAAAACATAGCAACCAAATGCAATGTGTGAGTTTTGATCAGAGTCTGGTTCAGATCAAAGAAGCTATACAGAGCTTTAAGCAACAGTGGAAAACTAAAATATCGATTATCGCATGACAGGGAATTGTAAATTTTCTTAGATATTATAATGCTATTGTTGATGTAAGAGAATGACCTTACTCTTCATGTTCTTACTCCATCTGTTAAGTACAATCACTTTAGTAGCCCTTTCTGACAAAATTATTCTCGGATTCAAAGGTTCTGCTGGACTGTAATT